ATACTGAAAATAACTTGATTGAAAGTAAAACATGCAATGTAATATAACAAGTAAAGTTTTACATCTGAAAAAGGTAATGCATATCAATTTCTAAAATTGTACTTTACTTTCTTGGGGAGTTTCTCTAACCGACAACCATCACCATGAGACTCGTGATGATACAACTATCTACGCTGGCGGCGCAGGTTATATGGGGTTTGAGTTATCTATACTTGTACTTAAATCGGTGCTCAATACTACTCCCAAAACATGCAATAATTCTCATATTAATATTTTTGTTGAGTTAATACTCAAAAGTAGGGCTGTGCATTCGGTTTTTTGGTTTGGTTTTATACTATTCGGTTTGGGTTTTTGGTTTTTGGTTTTGAAGAAGTGTAACTCAATCCGAACCAAATAAATTTGGTTTGGTTTGGTTTTCTCTTTTTGGTTTGAGTTTTTTCGATTCGGTTAATCGGTTATGTCAATAATTAGAAACATAACAAAGTTATATTTGCAATTTGGAAAAAATAATATATATATATATATATCACAAGCAAAACATAAAACACAATACTTAAAAGTATGGTCAAATATACCCCTGTACTATTGAAAATAGTTCAAATATACCCCTAGTTATACTTTCGGGCTAAATATACCTCTCATGTTATACTTTTGGCACATATTTGCCCTTATAACTAACGGAGGGACACATGGACAGCTAGGATTAAAAGAAACCATCCAATTTAAACCATACCCAATTGTAAGGTAATCCGCCCCACCCGAATCAATTTTACACAACCCAATTAATATCATCCGACCCAATTTTAAAATTCAACCATAAAAAACCTAAAGAATTTTATTTGTGCTTCTTGCTTTAATTTATAAGGATCAAAATGTTTATCATCTCCAACTGAAAACATTTCTAAAAACTTTCCATGACAGTGCAGTCTCTACCTTGTCACTAAATAAAATATTATCTATGACAATGGAAGAGCAATCGACATAGATAGTAGCGGCTCTTTCCAAGAAGGTAAGAAGAGTAAGAGAACTTGAATTTGCTGGCCTTGGCGTCAGCTCATCCATAATTTTGTACTCTCCCTAGTGTCTGTTAATTATTATATAGATCCAGTGAAAGAGATGGAGTAAACCAAAAAACTACTAATTTTGTTTGCAAAATGGATTATATTTACAGGTCCTCTGATTTTTTTATCTTTGAAGTTTAAATTGGGTCGGATAATATTAATTGGATCGGGGAAATTAATTTGGGCAGGGCGGATCACCTTATAATTGGGTATGGTTTAAATTGGATTATTTCTTTTAATCCTAGTCGTCCATGTGTCCCTCTGTTAGTTATAAGGGTAAATATGTGTCAAAAGTATAACGGGAGGGGTATATTTATCCCGAAAGTATAACTAGGGGTATATTTGAACTATTTTCAATAGTACAGGGGTATATTTGACCCTTTTCTG